AAAGTAAATAAAAAATAATAAAGCAATTAAAGCTAAAAAACAAGAAAATAAAATACAAAAGAAAAATAATAAAACATTGAAATAATGAAATAAAAAACAAAATAGATCTTATTGAAATAATAAAAAAAGTTAAAATAAAATACTAGAAAATAGAAAATAAAATAAAATCTTCTTGAATTAATATAACAAAATGAATTATAATAAAATACCAGAAAAAAGATGAAAAAAAAAATTAATAAAATCAAATAAATAAAATGAAATAAAACAAAAAATTAATTTATATAAAATAAAAATTAAATTTAAAAAAAAACAAAAAATTTAATTATATAAAATAAAAAATAAATAAAAAAAAGAAAAAAATTTAATTATATAAAATAAAAAATAAATAAAAGAAAAAAAAAACAAAAAATTCAATTACATAAAATAAAAAATAAATACAAAAAAAAAACAAAAACATTAGTTAAAACATAATAAAATAATGTAAAACAAAAGTAAATTAAATAAATAAAATAACGAAACAAAAAATAAAATTAAAACTAAATTAAATTAAACAAAATAAAATAAAAGTATAAATTAATTAAATTAAATACTATGAAATTTCTTTAAATTAAACTAAATAAAATTAATTAAAATAGGGGATTTTATAATAAATTAAGCTAAATTAAATTTAATTCCAATCATAATTTTTCATCAACAATGTTTTTTCTCCTGCCACCCTACAAACAACAACTATTTATGGTTCGAAACTGCCGCTTATACCAGTTTCAACGAGACGCACACATGCATATGTATATATATATATATATATATATATGTAGCTCAAAAGGATACAAAATTGTAACAAAGAAAAGTAAATAGGAAAATCTTTTGACCAACGTATTAAAGACTAACTAAACTTGTTTTTACACATAAAACTACTTTAATTTAAAATCTAACATACTTACATATGTACATACATATGTATGTTTGTGTGAATTTACATGCAGGCATATAAACATAAATAAATACACATACATTTAATGTACTAAAGGTAGTACACTCCAACAACAATACAAACAATATCGCCAACCAGTTGAAAACCAGTTTAGGTTATAAATGACAGACACAACAGCGATCAGCGAATAGGTAAACTAACGAGATACGAACATACATACATACATGGTGCATATACATATGTATATCTACCAACTAACAACTAACCCAGGAGTCAAAAAGGTAAACAAAACAAGTATGTGCACGTTCAATGCAAGAACAAAATTAAATAAATTGAACCATTAAATGGAAGAAAAAGAAAAAAAAAATTTAAAAAAAAATTAAAAAAAAACTAAATGCAAAAAGAGGTTAGAAAAGAACTTAGTTAATTGAAATAAATTCAAAAATGTCTGTTTCTAACTAGATAAATGCCTAAGAAGCCAGTAACTCAGCATTAAGGCAGCTTGCATTCCTTTTTTCCATTAAATAATGCAAGAAATGCAAGTAAACTAATGCGCTTAGTGCAAAAGGTGGAAAAACTAACTGCTGCAGCAAAATCTGGTTATGAAACAGAATGCGAAACAAAATAAAAAAAAAGAGAATAAGAACAAAAAAACAAGGGAAAGAGATGGGAAATTGCAGAATATGCTAAAAAACTAAAAAAAAAGAGTTTGAATTTCTTAAAAAAAAATGTAAGCACTAAAAAACATAGAAAAAAAATTGCAAAAAAAAAATTAAAAAGAAATTAAAAGAAAGTAAAAAAAAAACATTCTCAAGCCCAAAGTAAAAGTCTCTTTATCATTTACTTAGTCATATGGCGGTAAGGAAAAAAATTGCATATTTGCATTTAACTACGACCAGCTGAGTAAAGCAGAACAGAGCAGGAAATGAACCTGCATGCACTTTTAAGTACAACTTTTTTTTTTGTATTTCTTTTTTTTATTTTTTTTTTTTGTACTTTTTTTTTTGCACGCCTTCGACTTCGATTGTTGGCTATGAGTGCAGCAGAGGCACTTCATTCAGTACCAAGCAGTGAAGTACTTGCGGTAAAAAATCAGACTTACGTATGTATAAACATATAATATATAGGCATGACTCTTGTGCACTCACTCCGTGTATTTCTACTAAAACATACAAGTGCTTGAAATATATTGAAATTATTGACCTCCAGCTGCCTGCTCGAGTACTACATATTACTCACATTACAACCACACAACGCACATACATACACACAGCTGAACATACTTATGGGCATACGAAAAGCAATAAGAGGTGCATAAATGCATTATCTAGCTGTCTTTTTAGGCCTTCGGTCTCTTCGGTCACAGTATTTGATTTGTAAGGGAATTCTTACGTTACGACCACAGAATTACTGGAAGATGAATGTGATTTTTTGGTTTTGGATTCAGCTAAAAAAAAATCGTATGTTTCCGGTAAAAAACAATGAACGTGGCTGTGACTGGCAGGACTTCGGTCTCCAAGTAATAAATAAAGCGCAACCATTACTTGGTTAAAAGATTTCATTATTTTACTATATGAAGCTCATCTCGTCTATTCTCGATACACTCATGTTCTCTAAATGAAAGGCAAAGACCATAACATTCTCACAATGTTGAATCGCCCAAGAGAGAATTCTACTTAGTGCTATTAAGAGCATTTATAGAAGGTTTCCACCTCAACCAAGAATACTCTAAGCACACTCTAGGAAGAAATGGCACGAACTTTAAGAGTTTGGTTAGGATTTGCTTGACTTCTTCGAATGCACGTGGGTCATAAACATGGTTTTCGGCTAGAAATTCGAATTTTCGTTCCCCCAGAGCGAAAGTAAGTTTGTGCTCGTTATATTTGGTAAAAAACTCAGATTTTGCTGAGCCGTTTCAATAACTTGCGGCCATTAACTGGTCTGCTAGTCAAAATTTTACTTATTCCACTTCTGATTTTTTCATTTTAAGTGGCAAATGCATTACTTACGTGATTATAGCTGCTGGTCATTTCTTTTTTTAGATAAAATGAAACCAAATCATCACCAACATGGCAGCTATCTTTGCATTCGCTGAACTATGCCTATCTTGTCGAAAATATCGTACAGTTCATTAGAAAAATGTCTATAATATTCCTCTAGCTAATGCGCAAAGGTTCATAAATTCTTCGCAAAAATTTTCTCCAAACAACTGACACATCGGGTACCGACCAAAGTAGCACCCCGCTTGAGATTACAGCTCATTGGATGGAGATGAGGATAGCTCGTTTATTTTACTAAAAACTATTATTACAATTCTCTTAAATACAGCATCTAACCAAACCTGTAATTAAAAAGCACCCTCTGCAGAAACTCCACCGCCCACCCTATTTCGAAACCAAAATTGTAATAGAAAGCCCTTGATGTACAATCATTAGCGATTGAGATCAGTGGGACATTGCTCGGAGATGAAAGAAAATGAGTACATTATGTGCCAAGTTCATATTACTCTACTCTAAGAATCTCCGAGAATTCGTTTGTCATTTATTTATTTTTATTTATTTATTTCCAATAATGTTTTAACTCTTACACTTCCACAGCAAGGTCAGTGCCTTCTTTCATTAAAAATGTTGCCATTCTACTATATGTACATATGTATATCCGCTGTCTCCACAGCTGTTGTTATTACTCCGTTTCAGCTTCTTCTAGCCCTGGAGTAGGCATTTAACTCGACGGCGACTCCAACTGACCAACCGACCGGTTTGTTCCAGACACAAAACATAATTAAGTGGAATAAGATGCAGCAGCACAACAGCGGGAGAACGTTTATGAATAATATGTAGTAGTGGATGCAGCAGACGCAATTACCATCAGTTAGTAAGAAATGCTCAGTGGCGGTTCATACGCGCAGGCATATGTAGGTAGAGTTATAGACCCGGAAATCTTCTCATAATATGTGTAGCCAAAGCGTACAGCGGGATAATCACAACAAGATACCGCCTGCAACAATAAGGCGAGAGCAGTCGCTAAGCACATACATAACTACATATAGATGCATCTTTGTGTATGCATGTAGCAAACCGGCAGATTATCGTTCAGGAGTTTTTTCTTTTCCTTTCTTTCCGATGGCCAGTTTTATATTGCCAAAACATCAATGCAGAATTTTGTAGCAACATCCAGATATTTGTATATACATACAAACATTTCTCAGCTTGTTTAAACCAGATGAGTGAGTGTCGTACCCTTTTGCCTTCCTTTAAACAAACATACATATCGCGCACATTGGCCGCAGACTACATATTTGGGATGCTTTTTATTTCCCTTTTATTGTCGACCAAAGCATATTTGCTTGCCAAAGGTATATTAAGTTTATTGGCGCTCGCCAGTTGTTTTAAGAAGCCTACAAGAGTGTCACGAGGTCAAAATCACACTGACTGGTAGGATAAATTTGTATACGCGCCGCCGGCAATCTCCATTTTTTCCCTTCTAAAACACCAAAAAATAAAAACTCTTCTACTAGCCATGATGTACGACATTCTGGCTGTTACAGGAAACTCTACATTTTGCAACCGGTAGCAAAATAGAAGAGAATTTTCGCAGCTTTAATTATTGCTACTCGTACCACTACACAACTTTCCAGGCAATGCACACCCCAACTTTTGATTATTCATTTTTTATATTTCCCTTACATGCATTTCTTAAGGATTTTGCACTATTTATTATATTCTAATTATTCTGCATGCAAATTTTTTTAAGAAAATACAACAGAAAGAATTCAATTTTATACGTTCATTTAATTTGATTCGATTTTCTGCTTTTACCAGCGTGTGCCATTCACAATGAATAACCAGCTTTTAGAATTAGTTCTTTTCGCTAAGAAAAAAATAAATTATTTTTAATTATATTTTTATATCTTTATTGTTTTATGCGGTCATACTTTAACACTAAATAGCAAAAGACAGCGAAGAGGGTAAATTTGAGGTAGTGTATGTGTAGACAACTAACTATCGGAAGTATGCAAAATTTGTCAATTTCCTATGCAAGTATACATATTTACGATAATTATTACCTTTTCAATGCGTCGTTTATTCTGTGGGGCACAAATCTTGGTTTGCCTTACTTATTTTTATTTATTTTTATTTATATTCCTTCACCGATGATGGCTACTAATGGTCACTATTGTTGTTACCAAACCGGTTTCCTGTTACGTTTCTTGTGCATATTCGTCGACAGCGATTCGTAAATACATATACATATATGTAGATATTGTTTTTATTTTTATTTATGTACATATGTATATATTCTATTTTTCTAAATCATTCGGCTTTTGTGATTATTCATCTCCAATTGATGCCGCTGCTGATACATATCAAGTGATTGGTTTGCAATTGTTGTTGTTTTTTTGTAGGAATTCGTATATGTAAATGTAAATACACATTGATTTTCATGTATTTTACATTTTTTGTATTTTTTGCATATCTTTTTTTTGTATTTTTGCTTTTTTGCTGTATTTACTTTCAAATTCTTTTCATATTTTAATCGACACTTTACTTGTAATTCAAATGCTCACCGCCATAAAGCATATTTTTGCATAAACTATTATTATAAGTTTTTAATGCCAAACAGCTGTGCGCCGAGCAAATGTCAACAACAATAAAAGTGTACACAAAGAAACAAATACAAAAACAGTACGCACATAAGACACACACACACAACAATGTAGCGCTTAAAAAAATTTAAAAAAATTTAAAAAAAAAATGCAACTCTTCACATGCAATAACAATACACTTTGTAGCAATACCAAAAGAATAAATTTTTTTCTTTAATTTTTGCAAAGAAAAACACAACATACACGATTGCTTCCTGGCAAACACTGTTGTTCCGTTTAGTTCTTCTGGTTGCCTAAAATTAAATGGTTTAAATTATTTAAAAGAGGCACAGCCTCCACTGACACTGGCATTTAAACTGCTACTTCTTCTTATTCTTCTTGGCTTTCGCAATTTTTTTTTTCGCAATTAAAATATTTAACGCACTTTTACGTTTGCTCATTAGATTTCCTTCCGTTTACTAAACATTCTTGATGTACAAACATATGTACATACACATACATAGGTTCACTACACAATCAACGCTACAAGACGCTTCGCAAAAACACGCTATTCACTGGACGGCACACGACAACGAGAATCCGTGCCAAGCAACCGTTCCGATCACTCGCATAATTCGAACTTAAAACGAATTTTCGTGTAAATCCAACTCGACCGCTATTATCGTATATGCGGCAAGCAGCGAACGCTAGTAATATTGCCCGTGGCTGTAGCCGAGGAGCTGTAGGTTCGTCAACAAAAAAAAAAAAAACAACAACAAAAATAATACAGCAATAAATGCAAAGTAAAAACAGAAGAAGCAATAAATATACTCGTATGTATGGATATGTACAAAAAGATGTAAATCCATATGTATATATGTACATATATCGGTGCATGTAGCAAAAAATGCAAAGAACTCAAATAACAAAAGTCGTGTCTTTTAACCCATTATCGGGCAACATTTTATATTAAGTTCAAAAGGTTATTTCTCATTTACTATTCCTAAAATGTAATTAAATATTTTTGTTTAAAATGTTCTTGAATACAGTATTTAAAAAAAATATAACAGAAAAAACAGTTACATCAGTAAGCATCGACTATTATTATTGTTATTATATTCTTTAACAATGTTTCCTGTAAAATTTTATAAAACAGCCAACTATAATCCTCTTTTGAATTAGGTCTAAAAATAAAGTTATTAAATAGAAATTCACAATTTAAACAATATATAAGTAGTAAAGTAGACAGAGCAGAATGAGCCTTATATTTTTCATTGCTCATATTGAAAAATATATATATGACATTAAACGGTGCCAGAGTGAAACATATGTCATTTGTATATTCTACTACTACAAATACTACGTGCATTAGTACTAAATGGAAAATAGTATTATTTGCTATTAATTTATTTAACGCAGCTGTGCATACCCTTGTACAAAATATCTTTATTCACCATACTCTGCGACACCAGCGACATCTACAATGAGCATACAACATTCAATTGTTTGAGAGCAAAAGTTGGCAAAAGTGCCCAGGAGGCAATTTTGAGTTGTAGAGCACTATTTGAGTGCGAATCAAATAAATTGAGCTGCCAGCCTTAGAGTATTTAAAAATTATCAGGGAATTTTGAGATATATTTTGGAGGCTTTTGTGAAAACTACCAAATAAATAAATATAAACCATTAAATTATCACAAAAATAATCTGAAGAGTTTTCAAGGAAATTGTGAAAATTGAATTAAAGCTTTTATTTTTCTTTTTTGTGGAATTTACATTATATTTTTCAACAATTTTCCGTAAATCATGAAGATAGCTTGCATTGGTCACCAAGAAAATATGTATACTATTGTTTATGTAGGTCTTGTTTCAGAAACTGACAAGGACATTTCAAAAAATATCCGCATGAAGAGTGTGAGACCTTTAAACGACTGGTAAAGTGTTTCTTTGCCTTCATAAGGGATTACTCCATTAATATCCAACCAAGTATTACCCAGAAGAAATCTAATTAAAAAAAAAAAAAATGGACTGAACCGAAATAGACAAACAGCTACCTCAACAGAGGTGGGTAACTCTAAAAACTCTTGCCTTTGTTAAAATTTTAGGTAATTTTTACTGGTTTTTTTCTTTGTTGTCACCTCTCGATAGAGATTGTCAGACCAAAAACGAAATTAAAAAAACCCTAAATAAAAAACAAATCCATCAGCCGTTGAAAGGCGTCCTAATATAAACTGTAGGTATCTCCCTTTGTCGGAAAAACATCAAGAGGCATACCAAAAATGAAGGAAGAGCTCAACCGAAAATGGTTTCAGCGATTACAAATCACTAGCTATTAATTGGGGTACATAGATTAGAATGGTTTACAGGGATCATATAGTCTTGTCTGAGAAATAAGTTTAAATTAAATCGATAATAGTATCAAGGTAAAATTTCAGTACGTGTTACAGGTTAGCAAACTATCTGAAGTTAATAGGGAATATAATTTCTAAAGCTATACCAAAAAACGCTATACTGTCGGGGTAAGCTCGCTGGCAAGTAAAATGGAAACGTCTGAGTTTTTTTTTTTTTTTTGAAAACGCATTAATGCTTTCCATCGAACTGTGAATACCCCAAATACACCGATGGTATTACATAGCATAGGCACAAACCTTTACTAAATGTCATTTGTCATTTTGACAAGCACGTGTTTCAGAGAACGTATAACGTTCTCTGCGTGTTTATTTACATCTGTTTACGTTTCCACCCAGTTGGGGCCTTTTGCACAAATAAGCGAAAACCTATTTATTTCTTTGAATTAATAGAAACAAAAAATTTAAATGGAAGAGGAGGGACCACAAGAAGCAAGCATTGATTTTGTGCCAGCACTATGCTTTGTGCCACGAGGTGTTGCCAAAGAACGACCAGAAAAAATTGTGCTTTCACAAAATGAGTTGGCACGTATCATTGAGGAAACGAGGAATACACTAGCTGAAGACGGTGAAGATGACGACGACGATGATGAGGATGAAGATCGAGAGGAAAATATGGATGTTGATGACGAAACAGCAGGTAACAGCACGAATCGGAATCCGGATGATGAATTTGATTTTGCCAACTATGACCAAGAGGGTGTATTGAATACAGCCGATATTAGTGCTGTTGTTGATCCCAATGAACAACTGCCCGATGAAGATAATGATTCCGAAGCAGAAGATGAAATTATTAAACCAACAGACAATTTAATTTTGGTGGGTCACGTGCAAGATGATGCTGCTTCCATGGAAGTTTGGGTGTTTAACGAAGAGGAGGAATCTCTTTATACACATCACGATTTTATACTGCCAAGTTTTCCGCTGTGCATTGAATGGATGAATCACGATCCTGGTAGTGATAAACCAGGCAATATGTGCGCTATCGGCTGCATGGATCCAGTGATCACAGTTTGGGATTTGGATATACAAGATTCAATAGAACCCACTTTCAAATTGGGCTCCAAAGGCAGTCGTAAGCAACATAAGGAGGCGTATGGCCACACAGATGCTGTTCTGGATTTATCATGGAATCGCCATTTTGAACATATACTCGCCAGTGGCTCTGTTGATCAGTCAGTAATACTATGGGATTTGGATGAGGGACAACCGCATACTACAATAACAGCTTTTGAGGAAAAAGTTCAATCAATAGAATTCCATCCAGAAGAAGCGCAAAGTATATTGGCCGGCAGTGCAGATGGTATAGTACGTTTATTTGATTGCCGTAATGCTGATACCGTCGATAGTGATTATGTTAAATGGAAAATACCTGGTGAGGTAGAGAAAGTGTTGTGGAATCCAACAGACACCAATCATTTCATAATCGGCGCTAACGATGGTAGTCTCCATTACGCTGATCGCAGACAACCTGATAAACTATTGTGGTCTATCAAAGGACATGAAGAGGAGATTTCTGGTGTTTGCTTCAATAAAGATATAGCCAATTTGTTAACATCAACATCGACCGATGGTATGCTCAAAGTTTGGGACTTTAATGTTGCCGCTATCAAAGAGGTTTATGCACATGATTTCCAAATGGGGCGCTTACAATGCATGAAACAAAGTCCCGAAGATCCATTCACCCTAGCGCTGGGCGGCGAAAAGCCACCGCGGTGTCGCATATACAATATAAAGAACTTTGAAGCGGTGAGGAAAATTTTCAAAATACCAGAAGTACTTCAATAAAAAAATTATAATTTTAGTTATGAAATAAATAAGAAACTTTGACTTGAGTAAAATAGAATACCTTTATTTTAAAGTATGTTGTTCGAAAATTTTATTTTTATGGAAATTAAACTATTTGTAAAAAAATAATGTAGATCAATCTTATTTCTTAAGCACTAATTGTAAGTGCGGTTATGATTTGATTTGAAGCGTAGTTGTGTTCGCAGATTTGGTCAAAAATATTACCACAGCAACTTCTTCACCACGCACTAAAAGCTGATGCAGGTGTCTACAGATTTCAACATTTTTTCTGTTAATACTTTTCACCTCTTGCTTTGGCAACACAATTCCAAGCGCTTGCAATCTCCTACTGCAATCTTGTGGTTCTCCACACATTTTATTCACACCATACTTGTATTTCCGACGTTGCCATTTTTCTTCAACATCTCGTAGCCATAAATTCCAGAATTTATCGAACCATATCAAGGTGCCTTCTAAACTGCCACGTATACCATGTTCATTACGCACCATTACGCGTACACGTCGCTCCTCTTTCATGCCCAACTTTAATGCACTCATTGGACCCGTAATTCCATCAATATAGGTGAAAATATTATGCAAATTCTTTTTCTTGCGTCTACTGCCTTGTACGGGCATTTGATGTGGCAGAAAACGACGTGTTTCTGCCTCTTCAGCTATGACAATGCCTTGCTTTGAGCTACCCGGCTTAACAGCTGTTGCATTGCTAATGTTTTCATCAGTTGTTTGTGCCTTCTTTTGTACTACCGTATTATTACGTTTGTTGAGATTCATTATACCAAAACGCTTAAAAGCACTTTCGAATGCTGCAAGATTTTGATAAATCACTTTTGGCTGTTTCTCACTGATGCGATATTCCGGCTCATACAGTGCACGTAAAGGATCGAACTTTTCACTGGTAATATCCAATTCACCATCTGTGGAGTTTGGAGAATCCTGGCGTTGCTCTTGGCCAGTTTGTAACGCCGACTGTTCCTCATTTTGAGGAATATCATACTCTGACCCGCTAATTTTGAATTATTTTTTTTATACGCGATTACAGAAAATATGAAATGCTTTTAGGAATTGAATATTTTTTTGAATAATAATTTCAGCGTCTTGCCGGCAATAAACAAAAATCAGCTGATCCAATATTGCCACTTGCTCAAACCGCAATGTAGTGCTGCCAGTTTAATGCAATAACAACTACTTTGCTAAATTCGTTGATTTCAAGGATTTTTAAGATAATAAAGAATTACTAGTTATTAGTAATTGCCGCAAAGCCACTTATAAAAAGAATTTACTCAACAATAAAAAAACATAATAAGTTGAACTTATTTCAGAATTCTTAAAGTTACAACAATCGCCGCACAATAATGTTACAACAATCGGATTCGTTATGAAACTGACACAGAGCAAGACGTATCGTCATATTTATATCCAAACTCTAGCTCTAGAGCATGCTGCACTTACTGGTAACTCTTCTTCACTCTACTATCTCTGTCTTTTTCACCCGTCATTCGTTTTCGCCGCATTACAAATAAATTCATTGTAGGCCAAGGCAAATTCACTACAGATAGCCGCATTGGCGAAAAGGGCGAATATTGGCGAATGTCATTGCATGAGCATGAATACTTACATTTTGTTAAATTCAAGATAACGTAACTACTGCTCGAAATCCAGAAGAATTTACTATCGTGCTGCATACATTACACTCTTTATTTCGCCTGACATTCTTGAAATGCAGTAATCGATGGAAGAAGAAAACAGCTGTGCTAGCAACTTCACCTCAACTCAATTCGCCGTGGATGGTGTAGCTTTAACTTGCTAGAATAAGTGCGTGAAAACAGAGGCGAATTTACTTATTTTTTATAGAAAATTTTTTTATTTATTATTTATTTGAAAAGAAAATTTGGAATAAAGAAAGACCAAAGAATTTTCCTTGAAAAGAGAAGAAAAAAATGAAAAAAATTTCTTTGAAAAGAAAATTTGAAAAAATTAAATAATTGTATTTGATGAGAACTGAATTGAAAAACTAGGTTAATCATTTATTACATATGCAAATATGTATTTAACTTTGTGGCCTAAACATTTTTTTTTTTTTTATAAATAATCAAATAAATTCAAATGCCCATGAGAAGATCAGATTAGCCGGTGATATGCTAATGGCAACTAGCGTGCCTTGTGCAAAATGCAAATATTTCATAATATTTTCTACTTTTTTTTTACACATAAGATGAGCTGAGAGCTTTGTTATCTTTGTCGAGAACAAATAATAAGTAAGCCCAACAAATAAATTCCGTAAGAAATGTTAAGAGAATATCATCACTGGGCATAGCCTTGTATTAGCTGATAATGTTGTTACTCATAAGAGCAATTTGGTAAATTATACACACATGTACATATGTATGTATGTAAATGGAAATTCGATAAATATTAAAGACTTGAGCGCAGCACCCACCATCTTGCGCCTCCTTTCATTTTCCCTAAATATATGAGCCACTGTTGTATACTTTTTCTTACTTTACTACCTTTACTTATTTCACTACTTTTTTATTTAAACAATTATTTATATTAAATATGTAACTTAAAATTATAACACTTGCAAATTGCCACAAACCGCCTACTCTTGTGACAGAAAACAATTAACTATCAACTACATATACGACATTTATAACAACAATCGATAATCGAGTTATCGAGTGCAGACGTAACTGTGCCTGCGGATGTGTTTATGATTGGACTTTTGCGCCGAAAAATAGTAAAATAAATAGTTTTTTAGCTCTTTAAGGAGAAAATTCCTAGAAATTTTGTTTTCGTTTTCAAAATTGATTTATTCTATAAGAGTCTACAACAATTAGGTGAAGAGAATTTAATGACAATTTGTATTATATTCTGATGTAATTATGCAATGCATGCCGTGCTACTGCTGACAACCTAACCTACGCGTATAGGTTAGGAAGGATGAATCTGAATTAAAACTATTAGATTTCTAAAAAGTTCTTCCGCGAAACGAAAAACTAAACTAATAACCAATGACAATACATTAAGAACTCCAACAAAGCAACTAAGCAATATCTGCGCACTGTATTTTTCTGTAAGTCATTTCGAAGTCCTTGCGGCCGGAAAATAAATGAATTTCTTTTATTAATTATTTCTTTCATAATCCACCAAAAATCGTACAAAAGCGAACTAGAATACCAGAATAGAGGATGTAGGTAACAAAAAAGAAAGAAGAAATAATGTGTGTGTGTGTTGGACGATATGTATCACGATCGAAGTAGGTAACAGAGCGATTTTCTCAATGCAGACAAATATTTTCCTTTTTGTTGAATATATTCATAATGAACCTTGACCGCATGCTATGGCACATGTACGTACATGTTTTCGAAGGTCCAAAAGGTCATACGTACGTTACTATGCATGAATGCCGGTATGCGGGTGCGAGTGACGACTAATTGTTCTTGTATCTCGAATTTCTTTCCGCTAATTTTTGTCGTTTTAGTTTTTGTAAACTCATTTACATACAGTACATTCTTGTGCATATATGTATAATATGTATGTACATATCGATTAGGTGATAGACAACAAGTGGTCACAGCTGGTTCAACAACTTAAATACACAAAGATGTGTATATACGAGCATGTACATATATAAATTTCGTTATCTAAATAATAAATGCATAAACGTTTTCAAAAACTCGTTCGATAGGGACGCGACGTCTTTTGTCGCTGTCGTTTTATTTAAATATAATTTTTTATAATTTCTTTGTTTCTTTTTTGAGCTAAAAGATTAATTCTTTTGTTACAACAAAAGATATATGTTTTTCCTTTCAGAAGCAATAAGCACTTTTATAGGATAATATAAATGAAATTCTACGAATTTTTGATGGAAACAGAGATACAGCTGGGTTTAATGAACAACGTTCGATATTCGATTGCGACAATCGAACGATTTTTTATGAGTTTTATGACATTATTTCGATAAAGAAATGTGGTATTGTGAATTTACCCATTTGAACTGTTCACAATATTTCTTTTCTGATGGCTGACACATTTTGTTTAAAAATTAAATAAATTAAATTAAATTAAAAATACTAAAAAGTGTAATTAAATATAATTTTATTTTAAACAATTTATACAAATAAAAAAAAAAAAAAATTTTTTTTTAAATAAATTAATGAAATAAAATACTTGAAAATTTGTACGACAGAATTTAGTTCCAGCATTTGTCATTTGCATAAAATTTTTGAAGCACTTTTTCAACCCCCTACTTTCTTTCTCTTTCTCCCTTTCTTTAAATTTATGCTAACTGAAGCTTGGAACAAATTCATCTTGCAAACTGAGGACTTTTTACAATGAAAGGTTGTTGAATGAAAGCAGAGCTTTTTTGTTTTTGTTTTTCTACTCACGATTGCATTATTAAACTATGAAACTATGCGCTACCCAAACAGATTCGATAAGCAGCGATAACACGTTCAGGGCATAATACAAAGTTGACACTCGATCTTCGATTTGAACTTGACTTGTCGCATGTCGAGAACATCACAAATATAAGTGGAAACCTGACGACATATTGCCTCATTGAACAGCATGCGGAAAGACCTGGGGCTCTTTTCAATCCTTGCGGATGAGTGGCTCAAGAATATACCAGTGGTAAGACATGCCGTTCGTAAGGGGCGATTAAAATCTAAAAGTACTCACGAGAGTCGGAACAGCCGGAGAGTCCTTATACCGGAACGACCCGGCTTTTTATAAGGCCAACGACTACAACTGCAACAACAACAATAGTGGTTTCTTTCAGAATTTACTGTCGGTGCTAAGAACTGCAGGAATGACGAGGAGAAAGTGGCAATTTTCCATCTGTTATGTGTTTGCCCGACTCTAAGCAGATGTAGACTTCAACATTATGGAATCATTTTTAACTATAGTCTTCGCCAAGTGTCAGCTACGTCACTTACACTAAGCAAGGCTCCGAAAGGTCCCTCAATTACATACATATGTATGTCAGCAGTTATCTTTCCACTGTTGAGAGTAATATAAGAAACCTGCACACAGAATCGAGGAATACGTGTTTCGAAAATTTTTAGGGGGCTTTTATGCCCCCTCACTGCATACGGCCCCCCGAGGGTACGCCCATAGTAAGTACATATGTACATAAATATATTTATGCAGTTAGACCAAATATTCACACTCCACGCGCCTTTGCTAATTTCTATTTTTATCAGATCGTCAGCTAATCACTCATTATCTCTAAGATACAAACATTGGATCTCATCGTAAGCCGCAAAAAGCATCCATAAATATGTATGTACTCATGCATATATTCGTATTTTTGATGTTTATGTGCGCCGAGCAGCTTAAGTCATACATATACGTGTATATATATCTATGTACTGATAGTAAGCATGTGTGTTGTTGTTGCTTTATTAATGCACAGCCCAAACAATGGTTTTTTTTATCACTAACCGCAAATGAAAAATAGCCAGACAGCTTTTGATAAGACTATAAAAACGCTCCGGAGGACGCACGAGAGCGTGTACATATGTCAAAATGCATAAAAGAGACACACGCGCATACATACACACATACATACGTGTATGTATAAAAATTGGCTGCTTGCGTAGTGCGTACGAGAGCCGCTTGGTACCTGCTGGTATCAGTGTCCGTCCGTCTGCACTTTATCAATTCATCGCTACTTTAGCGCCAGCTTTATCGTTCACTCTTGCACTGCGCGCTACTCCCACTCTTTCTCACTCTCTCTAACGCACTCGTATACATTTTTTCCTCTTTCATTATTCTGTAGACACGATTTATCACACATTATTATTTTCTTTTCTTTTTTTTTCAGTTTTTAACGTCCCGCTTGGGCACAAATAAATTGGTTCATCTCATCAGCAGTAGCCAGTCTGCTGGATCTACTTCAGCTCCACGTGGGTGCATGTGTATTGGGCATGTGTGTGTGTGTGCATGTGTGAGCGTTTGTTTAGTTTTCAACTTGTTGAACGCAACATGCCGTTGACAGTTGTGTTTGAGCGTGCGGCCACAGCGAATAGGTGATTCGGAAGATTTCACCGACGGATCGAAAAGAAAAATTGCAAATAAAAAAATCCCAATTGAAACGATAGAAAAGCGGGAAATATACAATTAATTAAAATTTCTTTTCTTTTTTTTTTGTTCGCTGTCATTGGTGAAATGGCGAAAAGTTGAAAAGAGTGAACAGGAAATGATCGAAACAAAGAGAAAAAAATTCATGATTTGCAAATAATAGAAATAGGTGAAGGAAAACAAAAAAAGAAGCAAAAAAAAAAACAAAGAAAAAAGAAACTAAAAAACACGAAAAGCGCATTTGAATAAAAACATAAATAAACAAACACGAAAATTAATAACAAATCTATTTAGAATTAAATAATATTAACAAAGTGGCTGAAAAAGTGCGTTTCATTGAAAGAGCAAACGAGAAAAATAAATATTAAAAAATTAATGAAAAATAAATTAATAAAAAAAATAAATAAAAAAAATAAATTAAATAAATAAAACACTATTGTACCTCAAGCATATTGTGCAATTGTTTATAAACAAATTGAAAAATAGCATTTGCGTTTTTTATTTCAATTTCATTGTAGTGCGTGTGTGTGTATATATATTTATTAATGGTGTAATATATTTAGCATTTATCATATGCAGTCTGCGTGTATCTAATTTTTGTGCAGCCACTGGTACATACATATGTATGTATATTTAGCGCACAAAACGCACAGCAAAAAAGAATATTAAAACGATTTAGAGCACACATTTAATTGTTTAACAAAAAAAAAAAGAAATAATTTTGAATGAGGTAAGTTTTGATGTGTTTAAATATATAATATATGCATACGATTGTGTGTGTGATGTGGAATTTTTTTAATAATTTTTTTTTTAAAAAACAAAAATATATATTTTTCTACAACATTTTAGTTTAAAAATAACCACTCAAAAGTTCTTCGAATATTTTAAAACATTAATTAAATTTTATAGAGCGAATAAAAAAATAAAAATAAAATAAAAAAGTTAAAAAATACTTAAAATATAAAATAAAATAATATATAATATGTAGATACTACGAAAATTTTAAAAATAACTTTAAACATTTTTTTACTGTAATTGAAACATTTTAAAAATTTCCAAAAAACGTTTAAGTTATTTTCCATAAAGGAAGTATTGGAAATCTTTTAACCACAAAAATGTTGTTTTTCAAAGAAAAATGTATTAAAAATTTTATATCGGGTTAAATAATTTTATTTTTATTTAAATTTATAAAATAATAATTTTTCGCAAGTCTTTAACTTAGAACAAAAAAAAATTTTATTTAAAAAAATTAATAATTATAATAACAAGTATTTTCAGCGCTACAGAAAAATCGACATTATTTGATTAAAAATTAGAGTATTGTTAAATTCGAATATTTTTGAAATAAAATTTATCAAATCCTTTAAAAATCAACGAAAAAATATAACAAAAACTTACGATACAGAAAAATCTACATTTTTTTGAAATAATGAATAAAAAGTATTTTCAGCACTCCAGAAAAATCGACATTATTTGATTTGTTTTTTTGTTTAAAAAATAGCATTTAACAATACTTCGAATATTTTTGAAATAAAATTTATCAAATACTTTAAAAACAGCGAAAAAATATAACAAAAATTTACAATACAGAAAAATTTAAATTTTTTTAAAATAATTAATAAAAAGTATTTTCAGCACTCCAGAAAAATCGACATTATTTGATTTGTTTTTTTGTTTAAAAAATAGCATTTAACAATACTTCGAATAAATTTGAAATAAAATTTATCAAATACTTTAAAAAACAGCGAAAAAATATAACAAAAATTTACAATACAGAAAAATCAAAATAATTTTTTTATTTTTTATTTAACAATAATGACATTAATTAATATTAAAAAAAAAACTTATAAAACTCTTAAAAAACAGACTTTACAAAATTTCAGTGAAAAAAATATATCAAAAAACCTCAAACTACTCTCGAGTATTTTTAAAATAATATTCAAAAATCGACAAAGCAGAAAAATTTTCATTAATTTTCTTTTTTTATTTTAAGTTTAAAAATGAAATTAAAGTGTTCTTTCAAAATACAATTTTAACAAAATATAGCTTTTTTATAAAATTAAATTTTTTTTCAGTATTTACTTAATTATTGCTAGTTTTTTAATTTATTTTCTATTAAATTAAAATTTATTTGATTTTTTATTTGATTTTATTTCGTTTCAATGTGCTTCATTTTAATTTTAGTATATTTTTTTATTTTAAACCAATTTATTATTATAATAAGATTTATTTTATTATAATAAAATAATATAAATTAGGGTAAAATAAAATAAAGCATAATTTATTGTACCTTAATTTTTATAACTTTATTTTATATTATTATATTGATTTATGTTTTCATTTTGTCTTATTTTGATTAATTTTTTTTTTTTGATTTTGCTTTAATTATATTTATTTTATTTCCTTTTTGTTTCATTTTATTTTTTACTTTATTTTATCTTAATTTTTTAATCTTTTTTTAATTTTTTTTTTCAATTTTTTTAATTATTTTTTTTTATTTGATTTATTTTATTTATTTTTTTAATTTATTGTACCTTAAATTTTATAATTTTATTTTATATTATTATAATGATTTATGTTTTCATTTTGTCTTGTTTTGATTAATTTTATTTTATTTTATTTTGCTTTAATTTTATTTATTTTATTTCTTTTTTGTTTCATTTTATTTTTTATTTTATTTTATTTTAATTTTTTAATTTTTTTTTAATTATTTATTTTTATTTGATTTAATTTGACATCATTTTACTTATTTTATTTTTTTCTGTTATTATTTTTGAATTTATTTGATTTCGCAACAATAGTAAAAGTACTTTGTATATATATTACTATAAATATATTTTATATAACAAAATTATAATATTTCAAATCTCATTTGATAATTAAACTAAATTTTAGCTTATTTTATTTTGTTTCAAATTCGCTTAAATTATTATAATTTTTTTTTTAATTAATTAAAATAAAAAGATTTAAAAATTAAACTACATAAATTAAATTTTATTAAAATAACTTAATTTTATGCTTTTATAATATTTTTCATTTTATTTTGTATGAATATGTATGCATGTATTGTAGTAAAAATATTTTTAGTATGCTTTCATATGTATTTGTTGTAATTATACGCAGTTTATGAAATATATATGGCTACACAAATACACATTTGCTTGGCCACAAATATATCTTCTGTCAAAGTTTTTGAGATATACATACGATTAAAATTATAGCAAAAAAAGTTTATTGCGAATTTTTTCAACTTTGTGAAATTTAAATAATTAAATTAAATTTATTTAAGTATATAAAAACAATATTAGTTTAGGTTTGAGATACGTAAAACATTTTTTGAAAATAATTATTATTATTTTCAAAATAAATAATTCAAAGTGTACTGCCTACTGGCTGCTCGGAATGTTTGTATGTATGTATATGCATGCTGAAAAACATTGAAGTCTCTAATAAAGATAAGATGAGGGGATTAAATTTAGCTTAAAAATGTGTAGAAAAATTAAGTGAAATTCTTTAAATTATACGAAAGAGTTTTTGGAATAAATTCCTCATTATGAAAACTTTGGTTAGTTAATAAAAGTATTTTTATTTTAATAAAATCATTAATGCAGTATTTTTTATATTTGTGATATATTAAATTTTACATTTATTAAATGCTGTTTATAATTTTTGAATTTTTTTTCATTAATTTTGAAATGATATGAAGTTTGTACACACATACATATATATGTATAAACTATGTTCACGTCTATAAGTCAAGATTCAAATAAATTTCATACTGAGCAGTCTTCAAAAGTCGTTAATCAATTAAATCAAATAAACATTGTATGTATGTATTTACATATGCACACACACACATATGTACAACATGTGCATATTAGAGCCCTTGTTATTTGATTAATCGAATTTAAGTACATATGTATGTACATATGTGCAGATAATATATGCTCGTACAAAGCATTCACCTCATTGTCGTTCAGCTAACTAAGTTTCTTATCAAAAACTCGTAATGTGCACACACACACACACATACACGTATATTTGCTAATTTTCTATTTAATTATAGCACCTAAGAGCGAAACTTTATCAAAATTAGCGCGTGTATCTCGAGAACTATGAAATAAAAAGTGGGGTATAAAAAACAAAAATGAAAAAAAAAAATTAAAACAACAACAAAGCCATAAACTGTGTGCAAGAAAAAGTGGTAATTTATTCTTAGGAATAAATGTTTTCGTCAAAAACAAAATCTAAATACATAAATACATATATACATTTGTGTATGCTTAAGCATGTACATTTTTATTTTTTATTCTAATTTTGCGTGTGTATCTCATAAACCGAAAGTGAAATCAAAATAAACATCGAGCTGATATCTCTGTGTAAAAGTTTGTCCGTATGTATTAGTATGCATGTATATGAGTATTTGCACACTAATTTATGCTCACTGCTGCGCAAAGTTGACATATTTATTATTATATTTTTTGTTTTTGTTGTTGCAAAATTGAGGTTTACTGACCGCTACCGAGTGCAAATATCTCAAAAACTTTGAACAAATTTCACGCGCACGAAAAAATGTGTAATCGTGTAGGTGGTGTAGCCTCGTATATCTCGTTAACCGCGAGCAAATATGAAAACATTTTTAGAAATATTTTTATTAGAAGCACACATATATGTACGTATGTGTGTTTCTAATATAAAATGTAAAATGTATAATAGCGAAGTAATAAGACTTAATTAAATTAAATAATAAATTAATTTAAATTAAACTAAAAAATAAAAGAAAAATAACATAAAATGGCAAAATAAATAAAGTAAAATAATTTTAAACAACAGATTACATGAATAATATTACATTTTTCACAAATAAATCGAAATTGTTAATAAACAATTAGGAAGATTTTCACATACATATATCCATCACGCCCTTATATTTCGATAAATATTGAGAAAATGTACACGGAAATGTAAGCTCTTAATCGATAACGATAACTTATGATCCATTCACAATAACCAAAACAAAAAATCTCTACTATTGGTTTGAAATAAAATGCAATGAAAATTAAAAAATTAAATAAAATAAAATAAAAACAAAATCAAATAAAACGAAATGAAATGAATTTAAACTAAATTAAATTAAATTGAATTAAACAAAACAAAATAAATAAAAAAAAAATTAAATAATTTGAAATAAAATAAAATAAAACAAAATAAATTTATATAAAATTAAATTAAAATAAAACTAAATGACATAAAATAAAAATAAATAACATAAAACAAAATAAAATTAGAAAAAATTAAATTAAAATAAAATTAAATAAAGGAAAATAAAAATGGAAAAATAAAGTAAAATAAATTTCATATTTTGTTGAATAAAACAAAATGAAATAAAAAAAATCCAATGAAATCATATTAACTAAAATAAAATGAAATGAAAAAAATAGAGTAAAATAAAGTAAAACAAATGATAAAACAAAGTAAAGTGAAATAAAATAAAATTAAAATTAAAATTAAAATTAAAATTAAAATTAAAATTAAAATTAAAATTAAAATTAAAATTAAAATTAAAATTAAAATTAAAATNATAAAATAAAATAAAATAAAATAAAATAAAATAAAATAAAATAAAATAAAATAAAATAAAATAAAATAAAATAAAATAAAATAAAATAAAATAAAATAAAATAAAATAAAATAAAATAAAATAAAATAAAATAAAATAAAATAAAATAA